TTTGAGTCCTAAAGCAACTTTGCTTGTTCTTTCAGCACCCTGCTGGCTGAGTAGAGGTGACAGTCCTTTTTCTGCCCGGGCTGGCTTTGAACCAGTTTGCAGATCAATGAGTCTTATTAAAGGCCACTTTACTCCAATTAAAAGCAACAAGGTGGTCAACATAGAAATAGCTTTTAAGCACGCTCTTACCTGGAATTTAAGAGCCAAAGTTACATCTGACAAACTTGTAAGAATCCTCTGTGCTTTGCTCTGGGCTTGCTGGAAACTCGAGGCTTTTCTCAGAACTTCTCTCCAACAGGCGAGTGCCCCCACACTGTCCTCCCAGCTGAGGATCCCAGTCCCCCTCAGGTTGGAGCGGCTAAGAGCTCTATCCCAGACGAACCCCCATTAAATGTAGTAGGAAGACCCCCTACTCAGACAGGCAAGCCCACCTAGTCGCCCGGAGTGACAGAGCCCACCGCAACAAAGTTGTTAATAAAGAAGCAACTTTATTGAATAGGTTCCTACACTGACTGGCCAGGGCCACAGCACAGGCTTGGGAGCTGATACTGCGACTCAACAGAAATCTTATAGCCCAGAAGACAATGGCAAATTTTCATTACAGAAAAAAAATCTCAAGAATATTAGACCTAACAAAGCTAACTTTTAGAAATGAAGAAGAGAAAAAATATTCCAAACAAATTCAAACTGAGAGAATTTATCACCACCAGATGAATCCTTCCAAAAAATGCTAACTCTTGTTCTTTAAATAACAGCTAGTAGTAAAGAAGACTAATACCCTTCATTCATAACAAAATGCTCCTTGACTAACATATGCTCAATGTTTACTTCATTCAGCCATTGATATGCTAATGTCCATCTCTTTGAATTACTTTTTCAGGATATTTCATGAAAAGAATTTATAGAAAAGATGACTTCTTTGACTGTCTTCATTGACACGTGACATTTTCAATAAGTTATGCCCAAGCAACATTGTATATTGGAACTTCTCTTTTAAAATTGCACTGAGCCTTGTATGATATACATGTAATTAAGAAATGTACTCATTATTTATGTAACTATAACCCCTCTATACATTACCTTTACAATAAAAAAAATGTCAAAAACACAACTTAGTACTGGGGCAGGTAGGCACAATATTTACTACACATCTCTTGAACTTTTAATTTTCATAATTTGGTTATACATGGCAATTTGTTACCAGTTTCCATTTGCCCAAACGTAAGGTCTTTGGAGCAACAAGCTGGTTTGATAAGACTGAATATTTTATGTGCTTAATATCATTGAAATGATGCCCTTTTATCCTACATAGTTTATTTTAGCGTAATATTTTACAGGTTCAACTATGTTTTCAAATTTCCATTATTTAAATGTGAATAATATACTGTTTATATAATGCAATATTTCACAGAATAGATTTTTATATCACCCATCCAACAACAGGTATTTAGACTGTTTCCATAGCTCAGCTATTACCAGTTATGTGACAATGCACTTGAGAGTTCTAATATAATTCTGATACCTAGACATAAATGCTATTATATGTAACATCCCATTTATATACTATATAAATGGAAAATACCTGTAAGTATAATTGCTGAATTATTAACCAACACTCCACTAATTATCTATATAACATTCAACGTTCACAGCTGGAAGTGGAAGTTTCCTGGCAATTACCAGGGAATCTCCAGACATTTTATTAATCTCTCAAATGATTTAACAACAGCCAACAAATTGCTCATCATTTCTTAAGGGAGAGTCTTAAAAGTTCTAAAACAAATCATAACTTGATGTAAAAACCCTATGCTAACCAGCAAGTACGATGGGAAATCAAGAGAGTAGATTTTTTACAGGTAACAAGGAAAGACTGTCTTAGGATTCAATCTATTCCATCAATTCACATATTTGCTGGCTTTTCCATTCAGTATAATGACCATTTCTGATTCTATCTCCTTGCTTTCTATTATCTCCTGAAGCCAGGGCAGCAAGAGGCCCTCTCTACTCTTTCTTTAATATTATAATTTGAAATTTTTCACATAGGCTAGAAGAGTTAAATTCTCATAAGCTTACTAGAAACATACCTTGTATGCATTTGAGGAAGGATTTAAGTTTATGTACATCTCCAATTATGTATAATTATAAAAAATGGAGGCTAAAGCTAAGAGGAGGTAAGGCATAAATGTAGAGATCTGAAGTAGCAGTGATTCAATAGTTATTCATTTACCTATTTCTATTTATTTATTTACTTACTTACTTTTTTAGTTCTAGAGCTTGAAGTCAGGCTTCAGCAATGAGCCTGAGCTTTTTGCTCAAAGCTAACCCAGCCACAGCTGTACTTACTCAACATTTCATTTTGATGTCCTTGTACTTGAGTGTGATGCTCTGAAAAATTTTAAGTTTTAATCAGTAGATGAATAACTGTATGGATATTATTAATTATAGGATTCTATGTGTGTGTTGTGTTGTGTGTGTGTGTGTGTGTGTATGTGTGCACGCATGCACACGCATGCCTGTAGTGGGGCTTAACTAGAGGTTTCATATTGCAGCCTAGCCTTTTTTGCTCAGGGATGGTTTATCACATCTAAGTGTCTCTCAGATTTGCCCACCTAGGTTGTATCTTAACCAAGAGAGTTAGACCTAAGCATCATGAGTGGCTAGGATTACAGGTGTGAGTCACCAGCACCCAACTAATTCTAGAATGCTTAAGGAGAAAAATGGGGATTACACAATACCTTATATTGAGATGCATCATTTGAATATCAGGAAACATTTAATTATCTTGCTTTGTGGTAATCGCAATATGTCCTTTTTTAGTGAAATATGACTACTTTTTAGTATAACTAAAAATGCAATTAATCAGCAATGATTTTTTATTATGGCTAACCACTTGGTTGCTTTCCATTGAAGCAAAAAATCATTGATTGCAAGTATTTTCATGTTTACGTAGGAAGATTCAGGCCTTGTGTACTTTGCACTTTATCTTTTCATGTTTGCAAACCAAACCAATGCAAATGAAACTGAGACTTTTGTAGTTTATTGCTGTGTTTACTGGAGGAAATCTCTACTGTTACACTCTGATGTAATTCTTTATATTAAGTACAATACCAAAGTCTGCAGGGGGGGACATTAAAGTATAGAAGGTAACTCAGCTTTTTAAGCATGAATGAGCTGTGTGAAAACTGTGTGGTTGTGTCAGCTTCATCAGTAATCTTATAAATTTTTCTGGCACTCATTTTGTTGGATTGTGAATTCATATTTCTAAGGAATTACATCGTGTGAATTCTTCTTCAATGTCTATGCTTTGGTGAATATATTTGTGTGTATATGTAAACAGCCACATATGTGTTTACATATACATTTATAAATTCCATCCTCTCCGTATTAGATTTTTCCTCCAATAATAACAAATTTCTCCAGTTTTTGCTCACCAAACAATAATAATATTTCCTTAAATTATAATCTATATGATAGTATTCTCTACATTTTAATCCCTAGGTTATTAGGGATATGCATGTGCATTTCTTTGACTACTCACATGGTGTTATTTGTGATATCATAGTTGGAAGATGTTCATGTGGAACTAAAGTGTTCAAGGATTGCACTTGTGTAATCTAAATGACGTCTCTTCTAATTTTTTTGTCAAATACACATTTTCTATAGACAATCAAATGCATAACTGGTATAATGAAAATGCTCCCCCAAGGTAATAATAATGTTTTTAAGTAAACGCTCCCCCAAGGTAATAATAATGTTTTTAAGTAAACTAACATGAAGATAACATACCTTACAATGTTTATTAAAATAGTCATGGAAAGAGAAGAAAAATAATCTAAATTACATAGATTAACACATAATTTAGGGAACTAATTTCATTTTTTCCTACTACATCTTACTTGACATATGCCTCATTTCTTCATTATTTCAGACAGGACAAAGAAGTAAAGTCACTATTCATTAAGGTGTCCATAAACCTATGTAAAAGGGACACTTCACAGGTAAATCTCCCTGTCAACAAAAAGACACATATAAGGTATCTGAGAACTATTTTGAGGGACCATGGGCTCAATGAATCATTTAATCCTTCCATTCTTCAAGTTAATTTTATGTATAGGAAAAGAGTTTTGCAGGCCTAATATGATTTTCTCAATGTAATATTTGTAATATTATACTAACGCACAAGAGAATATATATTCATGTTTGTTAGTTTGGGATTTTATCTAAGGACAATCCCATATGTGATCTGTTAAGTATTTTTATTCATATATGTGCCTAATATCTTTCAAGAGTTTTAATACTGTCAACATCTTTACCCATAAATATAAGAATATAAAGGTCTATGTTTGAAGTGCAGAGATATATGTAGTTTGTAAAATTTACTATTGCATTTACTCTAACAATTGTGGTTCTACATATTTAAACTGAATGTAATTATTAGTTGCCTCGGTCTTTGAAATTATGTAAGTAAAACATGGAAAACTTGAAGTAATGAAATAACTATCCATATAACTGGCATGAAACTTTATACAATTTTAAAATCTTCATCTCTTTTAATATACACATAGTATACTATTCATATTTATCTATTTGGAGCAGAATATTCTTTGGGACAGTAGAAATTTTAAAAGCTAAGCTTGCTTAGTTTTCTAACATGTGTCAATGACAGTTCACTTCCCATTTGAGAAAACTGAATATCTTTAGATACTCCAACATTATCTTGTGGGCCAAATTATTCTTAGTTGAGAACAGTTTATTACTACTTCTCAACTAAAGCTTTCTCTGAATAAGTACATGATAGATTGATGGATAGATAGATAGACTGATAGATGAGATGATAGATGCATAGATATTTATATATAAAGGTAAGATTGTAAAGATATCTCTACTTTTAGTATTGTAAATGGAAAAGTTTGCATGTGATTTATGCTAGATTTTATATTTTTAAGTACCATTGACGATGTTGATATTTCTGTCTAGAATTGGCACTCTAGTCAAACAGGATGGAGACACGCAACCTCACGGTGCTGAAAGAATTCATCCTGATGGGCATCACGGATCGTCCTGAGCTGCAGGCTCCACTGTTCATTTTGTTCCTCCTCATCTATGTGGTCTCTGTGGTGGGCAACTTGGGCATTGTCGTCCTCACCACGGTGGACTCCAGGCTGCAGACCCCAATGTACTTTCTCCTCAGACACCTGGCTCTCACTGATCTTGGTTATTCCACAACTGTGGGACCCAAAATGTTAGCAAATTTTGTTGTAGATCAAAACACAATCTCCTATTATTGCTGTGCCACACAGTTGGCCTTCTTTCTTGTGTTCATTGCTTGTGAATTATTTATTCTGTCAGCGATGTCCTATGACCGCTACGTGGCCATCTGTAACCCATTGCTCTACACTGTCATCATGTCACAGAGAGTGTGTCATATGCTGGTGGCAATTCCCTATCTCTACTGCACGTCTGTGTCTCTTCTCATCACCATAAAGATTTTCACTTTATCCTTCTGTGGCTACAATGTCATCAGTCATTTCTACTGTGACAGCCTTCCCTTGTTATCTTTGCTCTGCTCAGATACACATGAAATTGAAGTGATAATGTTGTTCTTAGCAGCCTTTAATTTACTTTCTTCTCTTCTGATTGTCCTTGTGTCCTACCTGCTCATTCTCATCGCCATTCTCAAGATGAATTCAGCTGAAGGCAGGCACAAAGCTTTCTCTACCTGTGGGTCCCATCTGACCGTGGTTGTAGTCTTCTATGGGACGTTGATATTTATGTATGTGCAGCCCAAGTCCAGTCACTCTTTTGACACTGATAAAATAGCTTCCATCTTTTACACTCTGGTCATTCCCATGTTGAATCCTTTAATCTATAGTCTGAGGAACACAGACGTCAAATCTGCCCTGCAAAGAACATGGGAAAAATATATATCTTCCCTCAAAGCTTGTATACAGTGTGAATGCTAAAAGCATGTTCTGAATATAAACTATGCTTTTCCCCAGAATTCATAAGCAATAATATTAGGCTATGCATATATTTAAAGATTGGCCTTTTCTTCCTTCATAGTAGACAGTCTTCTATATGCTCTATAAATATGGTTCAAAGTAACAGAAAAATGCTTTATTTGAGGAAGTGACACCAATTATAGAGTGATGATTTGATAGTATAGTATAATGGGATTAACAATTAATGGTCAAAGGAAAAGATAGAAGAGTTGCACATTTAAATATGTGAGGAATAATAGTCAACACAAAAGAAGATTTTCCTTTTTCTTTTCTTTTTTATTTTTGGCCAGTCCTAAGGCTTGCACTCAGTGCCCATGAACTGTGCTTCAGTTTCTTTTGCTCAAGGCTAACACTCTACCACTTAAGCTTAAAAATTTTTAATGGTTATCATAGTATTCCTCTGTAACAATAAACTTTGCAGTGTCCATGTACATATTGTTGCTTCATTTCTCATGCAACCAGGTTGTTAATGTTTAAGGATTTTACATTTCTACGTACTCTGTTAAAATCAAACATGATTATACTTATATCAGATTTGAACATTGCTTTAATTTTAAGGAATCAATCATAGAGGTGCTCAAATATGCTTATGCTATTTGTGAATATGCTCTAGTTGGTCAATTTTTATTTGTGAAATACCTGTCTGTAGATTTCAGTGTATGGCTCTTTTTTCTGGCTGACTTCCTACATATTTGGTCCATATGTCAATATGCTCATTTTAACTAGGATCCAACATTTGCAACAATTAAGTGATAAAACTTGAAGGCAAGAGAGATAATGGCATGAGTTGAACTGTGCAATATTCAATGGAGGGTAGACTATGACAGGAATCTGTGTTTTACCTGCCATCCCTTCAGGAAATGACTCCTGCAAGGATCTTTTCAAAGTTTTCCATGTTGCTTTCAATACTTATATTTCACAATATTTACAGCATTGTCATAAAATTTTCTGTACAACCAACCAAAGTTGAATGAAATATTTAATGAAATGGCTAGTACTGAAGTATAATATGGAGATAGTTTAGTAAATAATATATTTTTGTGTAAATACTGAGTCCTCATACTCTCAGGGGCTCTATCACTTGACCACACTTCCAATCTGGTGTTCTTCTTGGATAATTGGAAATGCAGTTTCCTGAACTTTTATGCCAAGGCTGGCTTTTGAACTGAGATCCGCTGAGTAGTAACCATTACTGGTGTGAACCACAGGCTCCCAACAAGATCAGTTTTTATAGTCTTTCAAATGAAGAAGAATAAAGAAAACAAAAATGTGTTGAGACCTAAGTATGATGATATATTTTATAACTCATTAAAAATAGCCTTTATCTTATTACATAGATTTACAGACACTTGAGAAAATTTTCTTCTTCTCTGTATGTATTAGAATTTTAATTTCAAAACGTTTTTTTTACAGGAATAACTTTGAAATATCAGTATGATTAGTAATAATAATAATAATAATCAGAAGCATAAAGTGTCTACAAATATCTGCTGAGGTTCATATGTAGGGTGGTGTTTCAGCTTTTTAATATATGTTTTTTATTGCAAAGATACTGTACAGAGGGGTTAAAATTACACGATCAAGGTAATGAGTCTATTTCCTATGAAGCATTGTTACCCTCTCCTTTGTTTTTCCCCCACCACCCCTATCCTTCCACTTCCCCTCCTCTCCCCACCCCCAAAGTTGTAAAGTTCATTTTCAACAGTGTCTTGTACATCTCATTGTTACAATGGGTCATCCTGTATCCTTATTTCAGCCTTTTGTTAATTCCTTTTGTATTGGCATAGAAATTAAAAAACACACAAAGGTGAATAATATTGAGATACATCAAGACCATGTATGAAGATGGCACAGGGATCTCAATAAAATTTCACTGAAAGTTATAAATAATTAAAACGTACAGTCAGGTTTTGCTGGTTTCTACAACAAGTAAACAAATCCAAAATTGAATACAAATCTTCTACTGGTTCATGACCTTGGGGACTTGCATTAAGTATTTCAATGCGGTTGTGTTCATCAACCCATTGCTTTCTATCTTCTCAGGGAGCATCTGTTTAAAAAAAAAAGTCTTAGTTGTAATGTCTGGTTTTCGACATGGTGGGAAGGGGGATGGGGAGGGAGACTTGGCGGGAGCTGGGAAGGGGTGGAAAGGGGAAACAAAGGAGGAGTCAACAATGCTTGATAAGAAATGCACTCATTACCTTGCTCATGTAATTGTAACCCCTCTGTATGATATTTTCACAATTAAAAAGAAAAGAAAAGTCTTTAAATTGAATCCACAGTGTTCAGAAACACATGGGAGAATTAAGGGTTTTGAATATAGGTAACAAAGACAGAGGTTTCAGGAGGGTCTCTATATTTCCTGTTCTCAAGAAATGATTAGCCGGTAGCTGGTGGCTCATGCCTGTAATCCTAGCTACTCAGGAAGCTGAGATCTTGGGATCACTGCTCCAAGCCAGCCAGGGCAGGAAAGTCCATGAGGCTCTTATCTCCAATAAACCACTAGGAAATCAGAAGTGACGCTGTGTTTCAAGCGGTAGAGCGCTGGCCTTGAGCTGAAGTGCACAGGGACAGCGCCCAGGTCCAGAGTTCAAGCACCATAACCGACCAAAAAAAAAAAAAAATGGTTGCACTTTCTCTGAGTTTGCCATTTAATGTAAGTAACTATTTCTCATTCTGTTTCTGTAATTATGACTAAGCCATGATGTCTCATACACATCTTTGAAAGCTGACATTGTGTTTGCATCTATAAATGGTTCTGTTTTTATGCCTATGGTTTAATATCTAACAGAGGTCAAGAAGGAGAGAGGAAAAAGAACCAAGAAAAGGACATTGAAACAAACATGATTTACTATTATTTCCTCATCCTCCTAAATATGGCAGTGATTGGATGCCAGAAGCTATTTTCTCTCTCTCATTTGTTATACAAACAGATTTGCAAGAGGGAAAAAATAAGATTGGAAGAGCTTTCTTGAAGTGTTAGCAGAAATTCAACTAAAGTTTATGGTGACAGTAAATGTTGTTCATTTTAGATGGGTGGCATGATTAAGCTTTCTTAGAGAATGTTTGAAAGGAGAAATGAGTATTCAGTAGAAATAGTAAAGTATCAAAACGCAACATGTACATTTCATTGAATTACAAAACTGGTTAAATAAAATCCACTTGTCCTTATTTTTCTTTTTGTAATATTTCCATGTATATTTTATTTTTGTTTATTTAAAAAAATTAATTTAATTGTCAAGGTGATGTACAGAAGGGTTGCAGTTACATAAGTAAGGTAGTGAGCATATTTCTTGTCGAACTTGTTTTACGTTTGAAGAAATACTTATACATATTTTTCATATATTTTGCAATGTTGTCTAACCAAGATTTAATTTGCTTCTAACTATTTTTATTGAAATTACTTATCTAACACTGTAATCTAACTTGTTTTGCCACATATAACCACAATGTTCAAATGAGTTCTAGTAGCAAAGAAAAGTATCATGAGTCTTCATTCTGTAAAAAGAAAAGCTCAGTTTCCACTAATTTGTTCAAGTTTTCCTCTTGGTGTCTCAGGGTCTTCTAACACAATAAGTACAAAAACAAATATGTGTATTTCAGATAAAATGCCAGAAGGAAAGAATAATATTTTCCAGCTAATTAATATGAATATATCTAACTTTAATGTTAAGAAAATATAAACAATAGAAAATTAGTAATTAAACAATAGAGGACCTTGATTGTCTAATTTTAGATACAAAAGAGAAGGATGAGCAAGGTAGATGTTGAGTCCATGCTTATGTCTCATGTCCTAACTCATGCATCTTTCATCTATTCATCATTTTATCCATGACATATTTATTCCTTTGACAGAAGAAGAACACGTACATATGCAAAAAACTGTTCTATTGGGTAAGCCCCTGTCACTACTCATAAAATAAAAATTCCAGAACTTGTGAGCAAAGGCAGGTGTATCCCCAGTCCCAGGTGAGCTGTGGCACAAGCAAGATCAAGGACAGATTGAGTCCTTCAGCTCAGAAGAATGGTAAGTACTTGATGTGGCTCAGTAGTAGAATGCTTTCTTAGCATGTAATGATTTCCCAGCGCCACCAAACATAGATTTCCTCATATATTTGTGTACATGATCTTTAAGAAGAGTTGACATTGGAAATATTAAATCATTCCATACACCCCTGAAAGGACACATTTGATTTGCATATGAGGATAGAATTTAAGATAAACGATTTTCCCAAAGTCATCTTTGAAGGTCTTAATTAACGTATGCTACACACTGTATGATGTAATTGCATATCTTTTTATGTACCCTGTAACAGTTTTCACCTATGCCACCTGTAAGGATAAATATTTTATAGGATTAACTTGTTAAAAAGTAGGCTGTGCTAACTTTTGAAATTGAATTTAGAAAATGTTACTATCTGTATCTATCATCTATCTATAAAAAAATCTGATGTCTTTTCTTAAAATTTTATGCACTTGAACCTTAGGTCTCCTTGGCAAAGGCTGAAATTTTCTTAATAGAGACCCAGAAACACAACAAATCAAAGAAAGGTTGGACAAATGGGATTGCATGAAATTACAGAGCTTCTGCATGGCAAAGGACATAGCTAGCAAGATCAATAGAAAGCCCATGGATTGGGAGAAGATCTTCACTAGCCATACAATGGACAAGGGTCTCATATCTAAAATATACTTGGAACTCAAAAATTTAAATCCCCTAACAACTAATCCTCAAATAAACAAAATCCTGATAAATAAGTGGGCTAAAGACAAAGAGAAACTTCTCTGAAGAGGAAAGAAGGATGGCCAATAGACACATGAAGAAATGCTCAACCTCCTTAGCCATAAAAGAAATGTAAATCAAAACAACATTGAGATACCACCTCACTCCAGATAGAATGGCTGTAATCAAGAACTCTAATAATAACAGATGCTGGAGGGGATATAGACAGAAGTGAACCCTATTGCATTGTTGGTGGAAGTGTAAACTTGTTCAACCACTTTGGAAAGTAGTATGGAGGTTCCTCAAAAGTCTCCACATAGAGTTCCTCTATGACCCAGCAATCCCACTTTTGAGCATTTACACAAATGATCACAAAAAAGACCATACTAAAGCTACCTGCACAACTATGCTTATTGCAGCATTATTTACCATAGCTAAGATATGGAACCAACCCAGATGCCCCTCAGTAGATGAATGGATCAAGAAAATGTGGTATATATACACAATGGAATTCTTTTTTTTGGGGGGTGGTCCAGTCATGGGGCCTGAACTCTGGGCCTGGGCACTGTCCCTCAGCTCTTCAGCTCAAGGCTAGCACTCTACCACTTGAGCCACAGCTCCACTTCTGGCGTTTTTCTTTTTGCTTATGTGGTGCTGAGGAATCGAACCCAGGGCCTCATGCATGCAAGGCAAGTGCTCTACCACTGAGCCACCTTCCCAGCCACACAATGGAATTCTATGCCTCCATCAGAAGGAATGGCATTGCCCCATTTGTTAGGAAATGGAAAGACTTGGAAAAAATTATATTAAATGATGTACAGTACATTCTTGTTGCTTCTCATCACCATAAGAACGTTCACTTGCTCTTTCTGTGGCCACAATGTCATCCACCATTCCTTTTGTGACCTTATCCCTATGTTGTCTTTGCTCTGTTCTAATGCATGGGAGATGGACTTGATCCTCATGATTTCAACTTTTGATCTGATCTCCACTCTTCTGCTTGTCCTCGAGTCCGACCTGCTCATCCTGACAGCCATACTCAAGATAAACTCTACTGAGTTCAGGTGCAAGGTTTTCTCCACCTGTGGGTCCCACCTAACCATGGTCATAGGTTTCTATGAGATGTTGATATTCATGTATGTGCAGCCCATGTCCAGCAATTCTATTGATACTGGGAAGTCATTTCTTATTTTATACCCTGATCATCCCAGTGTTGAACAACCCCCCACACATTCATCTATCGCCTGAGGAACAGCGATGTGAAATGTACCCTACAGAAGAGATGGAAAATTTTTTTTCTGTGTGTTTTCTGAAAACTTACATGCAGTATGAGTCCTGCAAAACAGTGTGGAATGTGAACTTTCTCTCTTTTCCTCTGTAATATAGCAAGCACAAACGGGCTCAGAAAAGATATGCTTAATGTCAGAACTTGTTATTACTAGGAAAACGTCTAAAGGCTATTGAATAAGCTAATAGAGCCTTTCTCTTTCTAGATATATGTTTCTGTGTATGTATATATTACATAGAATGATATATTATATGATATATTCTAATATATGATACAATGATTAAGCATGGAAGAACTCTTTAGACATATCTATGATTTATAAAGGAGCATTTTGTGTTCTAGGTTTATTAAATCTCCACAATTGAGATGGTCTGACAGTGCATATAGGATTAGAGAAAATAGATGCAAATACATATCTCTTAAAGTAAAAGTAATGCACTTCACAGGAAGTTGAGAAAACTTTATGTTTGTAAATTAACAATGAAGTTATTCTGGTTATGTATGATGTGTGTATTTTACTTTAGTCATTCTATGGAAGTTAATGAGTTCAAAATATGGAA